CTAAAGAGTGGCCACATCCTGGCTGCTTCTGAAAGCACTGTTACGTTTTAGGGTTTCTCTTTTCCTTCACCACGCACTGCCTATATTCTGTCCCATGTCACCATCCCCATGCTGGCTCCGTGGGGCTCTCCCAGATGCCAGTGCAGCCCCAGCCAGCTACTTCCCAGTAATATGCTTCTCTGGACCCACTCCCTGTGGACAGGGGTCCTGTCAGCCCCTGGGGTCTACTCCCTGCCCACTCCCTGTCTTCTGTGTCTGTGCCCGGCTCCCTGTGGACAGTGGTCCTGTCTGCCCCTGGAGTCTACCCCCTGTCCATACCCTGTTGGCCCTGAGTCTGAGAATGAGCCAATGGTCCCAGCTGGCTAAAGTACAGAGCCGCCTGAAGTCGAGGACAGGACAACAAACAATACACTTGATCGGGAGAAGCTGTTTTTTGAAAAATCAGAACCAAGTGCTGATCTGCCCACTGCAATGACATAGCGGGAACGTACTAAATATACCCGCCTGGCACCACAAGAGAGTTTCTCAGAAACTGCAGAGGACATTCTAAGAGTAAAAGTGACAGCTGGAATGCTGATGGCAGCAGCGCCCTCTGCTGGGCCCTGAGATGAACCGCAGTGAAAGGAAATACACTCAACCGCATTCTAAGTCTAGCAGTGCCAAGCTTAAAAAAAAACAAATTAAAAGATAAAAGGTGAATAGCTCCATCTCCATTTCTCAGATTCCCCTTTGTTTCCTGGAACTTCTTAGATGTTCTTTCAAGCATCTAAGGGATTTTGTTAAGCATTACCACAAAACAGGCTCCCATGCTGCCTTAGCAAGTTAGCCGAGAGGGCCCAGCCCGTTTGGCCCCTAAGATGCCAACACTTTGAAAAGATAGTCACAGTCACACAGACTAGGAGACTCCATCCTATCTCTAGTCTTTGTCTCACGTACTTAGGGCGTCATCAGGAGGTACCAGTCCCTGGGGAAAGACATCATGCTTGGTCAAGTGGAGCGTCAAGAGAACCCGAGGAAGATCCTCCCTCCACCAGACTGACTGACAGAGTGGCTGCAAGGGTGGGCTCAAACAGGATGAGTGAGGACATCGCAGGACCAGGCACTGTTTCGTTCTTGAGACAGAGAGTGAATATGAATCAGAACTGATACAACAGTGATGGGATTTATTGGCTGGAGTTGAGAATTTAACGAAACTATCAGCACTTTAACAACAACACCCGTCTGATAAAAACCTACAACAAATATATATAATCATAGGACATTTAAGATATCCCTACTGAGTTGGAAATACAAAATGATCCGGCCCACGCTGAAGGGAATTTGCCAGTGTGTCCTTCAAAATTACACATGAAGCAGCTCTGTGTCCCTGGAGATAGATGTCCCCGTCCCTTCAGGTTGTTTGAAGGGATCTTGGTCTTTCGGGCATGGCACAAATCCAGGTGAGGGAAAAGGGAGGAAAGTCCCCTCAATCCCTGTAGGGTTAATTTATTCAAAAGGGAAATAATAAGAAAATACTCAACATGCAACAATCTTGTGAAGAAACTGAAGGAAAGCCACAGAACATGGCAAAGACAGAGGAAGACCCTCCTGCAGATGTCCCACTGGTGGCAGGAGAAGGTGTAAGCCAGGAAGCGCCGGGATGACTACAGTCATGTCAAGAGACACGACAGGGCGGTCTGAGCAAGAAGAGAACAGTCCGAGGGACTACAACAGACTAAATTACATCCAATAAATGTTTTAGTCCATGAGACAATAATGGTTGTTGTTGTTAAGTGACGCCAAGCAGGTTCCAACCCATAACGGCCCTGCACAGGGTTTCCGAGGCTGTCTTAAGTCTTTACGGGAGCTGAAAACTTCATCTTGCTCCTGCAGAGTAGTTGGTAGGCTCGAACCAATGTCCGTGTGGTTCTCAGTACAGTATATAGCCTACTCCCATGAATTCATAATAAAAGCTGAAAAACCAAAGTCGCCGCTACCGAGTCCACTCCGACTCCTGGGGACTCTGTAAGACAGAGCAGAACTGCCCAGATGGCTTCCACAGCTGCAGGCTTAATGGGAGCAGACTGCCTCCCCATTGTCCCATGGAACTGTACATGGGTTCAAATGACCAGCTGTCTGATTAGCAGCCAAGTGCTTCAGCACAGTGCCCCCAAGGTTCCTGTCATTCACAATGCTGCCCCAAAAGCAAAACCAAACCAATCGATGAGCTCCAAAGACTGCCATAGCATCAATTTACCATTCTGCAAATTAATAAAGGGAAACAATCAAGAACCTAGCTTGCAAAAGTTTCCTGTACCAACTGTATTTCATGTAACTAAACAGGAGTGTGGTGTAGGCCAGTAGAATGAGCACTGGACCGCAAGAAAAGTTTGAATTGCAAGGTCGGTGGTTCCAACTCACCAGTCATTTCTCGGAAACTCTAGACAGAGTCGCTAAGAATCAGAACCGACTCCATGGCATTTACAACAATGACAACAAATAGCTGATAAGAAAGATGTCATCTTTGTAAATGAATTCTGGCTAAGAGATGGAGAAGAGATGATACATGTGGGAAGTCTTCCTTCTGCAAGCTCTAACGAAGAAGTGGATCGGAACCCTCATCGGCAGTCAACACTAAAACAACCAGGTCTGCATTCACAGAGGCTGAGAGGGCCTGGTCAGTCGACATCACCACCATTTAGACCTCTGGACCCTTCTGGTAAAAAGCAAGAGCAAGTGCTCAAAATCACACATCAAGTATTCTTGCCCCGCAAAGGGAGAAAATCCAAATCAAATCAAATGTCTAGATAAAAATGCCAGCGACTAATCATAGGGCGGAAGTGGGGAAAGCGCTACATTTGTGGGGGCCGCAGCCAATGTCTCGGAAAAAACGTGTACCAGCTGTTGGATGGAAAAGCAATCTGCCCTGTACAATTTCACTCAAATCATAACCAAAAGTTGATGAAAACAGAAAAGAAGAAGAGGAAGAGATACGGGAACTGGAGAAACATGCGGATGCCGGACGTATGCATCCAAGACGCAGAAAACTGCACAGCACAGACAGCCGGTCTGCTTTCTTCATCAGAGCAGCATGGGAAGGTGAATGGGCCGTCTGAAGTCACAGGAGACTGGAGAAGCAAGTCCCACCAAACAGGGAGTAACTGCAACACAAAGTACACAAAGGGACATGAAAGCTGGAACGCTTGTATTTTACCTCAGACCAAACAGATTTCAGAGTAAACAAGATCACCAAGGAGAACGTAGGTTATTCATAATGACAAGTGGCCAATTGTTGCTGCCGAGCGCTGTCCAGTTGGTTCCGACTCCTACCGACCCTGTCTAGGGTTTCTGAGGAAACGTAGGTGGGTTTGAACTGTCAACTTCTCTGTTAGAGGTCCAGTGCTTATACTACAATGCCACAAATTAGTTATGATGTTTATAAATATGATTACAGGGATTCAAATTACACGAAGCAAAACTGGATAGAAGAACAAGGATACACAGACAACTTCACAATTACAGCTGAGTATTTTAAGGCCTTTCTCTCAGTAATAGATCAAAACAAAACAAAGCCAGCGCCGTGAGGTGGAGTCCTGCTCACAGGGTGCAGCAAAACTGCCCAGGACATTCCCAAGGCTGCCATCTTTATGAGAACATTTCTCCCTCAGAGTAGCCAGTGTATTCGAGCTTCCTCTGGGAGCGTAGTGGTTACGAATCGGGCTGCTAACCTCAAGGTCGGCAGTTCAACCTACCAGCTGTTCTGTGGGAGAAAGATGAAGTTTTCTGCTCCCATAAAGACTACAGCCTCAGAAACCCTGTACAGGGTCGCTATGAGTCGGAACCGACTCCACGGCACATAACCACTACCACCACCGTTTTTGGTTAGCAGTCCAGCACTATAACCACATCACCATCAGAGCTCCTTGATAAAAACAGAAAGTAAAACCAAACCCACTGCACTGAGTGGGCTCTGACTTGTAGCACCACTACACGGGGTCTTTGTGGAAACAGATGACCTCATCTTTCTCCTGAAGACCGGCTGAGGGGCTTCAACCACCAACCTTGGGAGATTAGCTGCCAAATGCTTAACCCACCACACCACCAGGGATCCTTTGATAAAAACAAGGAGGCAGAAAGAAAACCAATAAGGAGACAGAAGAGTTAAACACATCCAACCCACTTAGCCCAATTTGCATCACAGAGCATTACACTGGGTAAGTCCTTCTTCAACCCAGAGGGAACCTTCCCTGAGAGAGATCAAACCTGGGTACAACAAGTCTTAACAGTAAAGCAAGTCTCCATCAATTTTAAAGGGCTCACATTATATAAAGTATGTGTTCTACCTATAAGGAAATTAAATTCTAAATCAATAAAGTAAGATAACCAAATACTAGAAAATCAGTAACACTGTTCCCTCGGACCCACCGAACAAAGGAAAAGTCTAAGTGAAATTAGAAAGCATTCTAAACAGAATGAAAGAGAACACAAAGGATACCACAATGTGTTGTTAAAGCTGTATTTAGAGGGAAATTCATAGCATTAAAGATCTCCAAATTCGGGGCGGGGGTTGCTGTTGTTGTTATGTGCCATGGAGTCGGTTCCAACTCATAGCAACCCTGTACAGGGTTTTCAAGGCTGTAAATCTTTACGAGAGCAGAAAGCCTCATCTTTCTCCTAGGGGGTGGGGGGTGGGGGGAAGAAGTTCTCAAACCAAGGACCACAGCTTCTCCCTTAACCAACTAGAGAAAGGAGAAGGGTTGGTATCTCCAACGTCTTACCCTGGTCGGGCCGCACACTGAAACCGCTGGCAGAACCCAACTCCTATAGAGGGAGAGGGGGTGGGGTGAAAGAGCCGGCCAGGGTACTCCACAATTCCTAGAACCCCAAAGGCGTCTAGAAGGACAGGTGTGCCGAGAGATGGTAAAGTTACTGTGACAATTCTTACTTCAGACAGAAAAACGGGCACCCTATTCTGTTCAGCCTTTTCATGTGACACTGAAACAAAAATTTATGTATTTCACCTTTGTTGGAAAAGAGATTTCGAAACGTGCTGCACAGGTAGGAGGCTCGTCCGTTGTGCAAGTCCACGTGGAGCTGGTAACCCTGCAAGCCGTACTCCGGGACATCATCCAGGAAGGGGCTGTGAGGGGGCAGCTCATAGGGGCTACAAAGCCAAACAAAATAAGCACAGACATGAAATACCCAAAGCTGTGAAAAGACTTTAAATTTTAAAATTAACATCCATTCAAAGCACCCCATCCTGTCAATGAGACCCTCTACAGTTCCCAAGAGTCTTCAAAACCAAGGGCTCAAAATGCCGGCTCCATGTTCCTGCGCCATGCTCCTGGGAAGGGAAGGGTCTGAGACCAGCTCCCCAAAGGTGGCCAAAGCTGCCAGAGTCCTCTCACAGGAAGGACAAAGTCCCACACAGCAGACGTGCACACCAGAACCAGGATGCTGTCCCAGAGCGAAGACATGTCGAGCTTTATGCCATAAGGGGAGGCAATAGGTTCCCGTGCTCTCAGGGAGCTTCTTGGAGAATTTGAACCATGCAGGGAAATGAACAGAGCCCACCCCACTTGGAGACACCTGCATGTAGGATGACACACACACACACATTGCACAAACCAGAGCACGTCTGCTGACCAGAGTCAGCCAACAGACCATGAGTGTGAGCATCCTGCTATCAAGAACTGCCCAGCAAAACAAGAGCGTTCACTTCAGAGCAGAGGATTGGAGGGCTAGCCTGGCACCTCACAGTCACCAACTCATCCCACCCTCAGTTAGAGTGTCTATTTGTTGTGGATTGCCTACCCAAGAACAAAGAGAAGAAACCCGGACTCATGAAGCCATGGTTAAGGTAAACACGTCGGTTGGCTTCTATCTCCCACTAAAAACAGATAGCTTTGTAACTGTGCTCAACCTCCTCATCCTTCACACTGACCGGACAGAAACGGAGTGGGCACGTAGGAACGTCATACGTACGTGGTGACTGAGCCCCGTGTACTCCTCTCCATGAGCTGATGGAGGTGAAGATTCGCCATCACAAAAGCCAACTCTTCCTCCCTCTGAAAATGAAGTGACAAGAACCCATTTCAATGGAAACATTTTAGTTCCCCACGGGTCTTTGTGCCAACCACAGCGCTTTCATCTTGCAGACAGATGCAGTGCTAGTACTGATTGCAGTATATGAAGATGTGTGTGTCACGCCGACAGCCGACTCACCCAATTGATGCCCCCGTACTGGCAGAAGAGACACTCTGCTAGGTGACTGGGAGACTGGGCACTGGGCGCTCTGGCCTGTTTCAGATTCTCCCAAAGATAAAGGCTGGGAAGATGTTCACAGACACAGACCTATCCAGGAACATTTAACCAAAAAGGCAACCATGGAGCTGATGATTCCAACTCACAGCAACCCTGTAGGTAAAGCAGAACTGCCCGGGGTTTCCAAGACCGTGACTGTTCACGGAGGCAGGCTGCCTCATCTGTCTCCTGTGGAGTGGCTAATTGCTTTGAACTGCCAACCCTTCTGTTAGCAACCCGGCAGGGGTGATTGGGTCCATCACGTTGTTCTGACACCGATTCCCCCTAAATGCACCACCGCCACTGCCTGGTGACCCCCCAACACCCACCCAGAGTCCCTGTCACAGCGCCGTCAGCTCAGCTCCATGGATTCCCACGTGAAAAGTATTTCAAATAAACCGCCATTGTGCCCACAGCCCTGCAGCCCGAGGGACGGAGAGAGCACGACCAGCTGCCGCAGCAGGCTGAAAAATGGAGAAAAGTGCCATGGGGAGCTGCCAAGGCAGACTGCGGTCCTCAGATTCAAATCTGTGAACAAGTGTCTTCAAACACTAGGCCCTCAGTCAGCCTGCAGGTCAGGAGCTGAGCTCACCCCCGCAGCTCCATTTGCAGCCAAGCAGTAGATGGATCTATGGGGGGACAACAACACTAGTGAGGTACCCACACCACAGAAGGGTCCACCATTGGAGATGGAAAGAGCAGCGTTGACCCAAAGACCCGGTTCAGAAGGGTGGGGAAAGGAGGAGGAAAGGAAACAGGAAACGCAGAGAGGAAGTGGGCTAGGGGAGGTTGCACGGAGGGGATTGTCACCAGTGAAATGACACAAAGCTCATGCACAGCTGGACACTGAATTGATGAGCTGTTCTGTAAACCTCACCCGATGCATAACCGTTAAAAAAAGACACTCAGAGGCAAAAGCAGCCTCTTGAACAAAGGCGTGCTGTGCAGGAGAGTCACATGAGGACCCTTTTCCTGAGTTGAGTCAGTGCCCCCTGGGGCAAGGAACCCTCTCCACACCTGACACCACATTTGTAGGGTAAGAAACAGTTCCGAGGCCATGACATTACAGGCAGTGAGAGGACATGGAAGACAAGAAGTGGGGAACGTGGGTTGGTGGACAGGGAGACAGGAAGACCCGAGAGAGTAAAGGGGTAGCGGGAACAAAGCATCAAGACACAAAACGCCTGTCGGAGGTCACGGTGGGACAGCAATCATCTCTGTGGGATCGAGGCCATGGAGCTAGAAAACCAGCAGCCTGAGGAGATGCTAAACTGGATGCATTGAGTGGAAAGTCTCTGAGGGTTTGGGTTTTGATGTCACACTCGGCGGTGATTGGGGAGGGGCTGTGACCTATGGTGCACACAGGGACCCCTACCCTACCTTCCAGAGCCCCACCACGAGGCCAGGATTCAGGCAGAAGACCCGGACAAGCTTGTCACAGCCCACAGGGGTGGTCTCTGCCAGGCCGCTGAGACTATACTGGGCAATTAAAGAGCGCCATCGGAGTCTAGGCACATCCCTGTGAAGGAACAAGAGACAGGGGTGAACATCCGGGGCACGTGGCCGCAGGTTAGGGTGCTCCTGAAGAGCCTGCAGAGCTGTGCTCGGGGTACACTGTCGCCCGCATGACCTCTGAGAGCAGACAGCAGAGCAGATGTGTTCAAACTCTACCCTGTGATCTCTGACCCCTTCACCATCCACGCAATCGTCCTTCAGAAGGACGACGAGGAGTCAGGAGTGAGGGAGACGTGAAACTATCTCCTACTCACTCCCCAAACCCAGCACAACACAATGATCAAACGAGACTCTTCATGCAGGCTGCGTGTTGTTCTTGCTGTTAGGTGCTGTCGAGTCAGTTCCAACCCACAGCAACTCTGTGTCCAACAGCAATAAACAATGTGCAGTCCACGCCGTCCCCCCGTTTGTTGCTGAACCTGAGCCCACTGCTGTCTCCAGTGCATCATTCCAGGCCGAAGGGCTCTTCTTACAGCAATGTAACAGACGGTGCTCCACTGCTCTTCCTACGGTTTACTGGGGCCAGCCACTCAAACGATTGTGAGGAGGGTGCAGGACTGGGTGCTGGGTGGTGTTTCCTTCTCCTGGGATCCATATGCGTCGGAGCCAACCCAACAGCACCTGACAACAACATGCATTCAGAAGCGGCCCACCTCTGCTTCTCCCTAGTCTGGAAGCTCAGCTGAAGCCTGTCCACCATGAGGGACCCTGCTGGTAGTTGAAGTACTAGTGGCCTAGCATCCAGCAAGGCAGTGGCAGGCGGCCACCGCAGCACAGCAAACGGGACAGTAGTCCAGACGTGGAGATGGAACACTGGAGATGACACCACAGAAGGTGGTTCCTTAGGCCGCTCAGAGCCATGAGCGAGGAGAGTCCCGAGAGCACGGGCACTGTGACGATGGAGAACAAACACAAGTGTGTCCGTGAAGGAGGCATGCTGGGACCTTCCTACCTCAGGTGCTGCCTGAAAAAACAGATGGAGGCTGGATGCTCATCCGAAGACCAGCCGACCACAGGGAGGTGTTCTGGAAGCAGCATCACACAGATGTAGGTGCCTGTCGTCCCAGGGACCTGGGGACGTCCCCTCCAGCACAGGCGCAGTAGTGTTGGCTGTGAAGTTAAGACTGGGTCAACCTGACTGGGCAGATATTCTCGGTGGTTTGGGAGTTGAGAAGCAGCTGTTCCCCCAGCATGTGGTTTAATGTGAAAACCAGTAACAGGATTAAGAATGGGATACATCTTGGTGTGGCACTAGAGGGTAAACACTGGCCTGCTAAACACAAGGTTGGTGGTTCAAACCCACCACCTACTCCTTGGAAACCCTATAGAGAGTCGCTGAGAATCAGAACTGATTGACCAGCACAACAAATCACATCATCATCAATCCCACCGCCACCCTGATCCAATTTATGGGAGTTTCCAGGAGTGTAGCACACAATAACTTCCATCTTACTGTGAAGTGCTGTCGAGTGGGTTCCAACTCATAGCAACGTTAACGCACAACAGAATGAACAAACCACTGAGGGTCCTGCCCTGTTCTTACAATCATTACTACACTTGAACCCACTGCTGCTGCCACTGTGCCAATCAGCCTCGTTGGGGGGCTTCCTCTTTTTCGGTGATCTTCCACTTTACCAAGCATGATGTACTTCTCCAAGTCCATCCTGATTATGTGTCCAAAGTCTGAGAGATGAACTCTGGCCATCCTGGCTTCTAAAGAGCATTCTGGCTGTACTTCTTCCAAAGTAGATTGGTTTGTTCTCCTGGAAGTCCATGGGACTTTCAATATTTGTCTCCAACACCGTAACTCATATACACCAATTCTTCTATGGTCTTCCTTATTCAATGTCCAACTTGCACATGCATAAAAAGCTACTGAATATACCCATGGCTGCGTCAGGAGCACCTCAACCTATATCTTGTTGTTAAGTGCCGTGGAGTTATTTCCGACTTATACTGTCCCTGTATAGCACTTCCAAGGAGCAGCTGGTGGGTTTGAACTGCTGACCTTGTGGCAGACAGCCCAACACTTAACACTGCAGAATAAACAATCATCATTGCCGCAGCTGCTGCCCATGTGGCCAAGGGAGTCTGGGTGAGTATGGGCACCTAAGGGTCCAGGGAAGTGTAACAGAACCCACTGTGAACGTGCCGAGTCGAGTTCTCCTTGGCCTGCAGGGCTACTGGCATTGATCACAAATTTTAGGAGGTGCAGTACAAACTTCAGGCTGCACAACGCTGACAAAGGAGCATAGTTAATGAGTCTGATGATAAAAGTATAAATTACAGGGAAACGCAAACTGCAAATTGCGTAAATAAGGGGTTCGCTGTTCTTGAGGGAAGAAAATCTAATGGAAGATACAAAAAAAGACCCAAATAAGAAATTGGAAAGTTGCTCCTTTCTTATCACCAACGCAAACAAGGATCTGTTTTGCTGCATCATGAACACAGCCACTTACAAACGTGTAAGGAACACGCCTAGGAAAGGGTTCACAGGAAACTTGCATTTGTCTGCCACAACGCAGTCTACACAGCTGAGGTCTGTTGAGGTTCATGGAGATAAACTGTGTGGCTCAGATTTTCCCTGTGAATCCGGTCACTGCATGCTGCTGTTTACTGCCATCGAGTGGATTCCGACTCATAACAATCTTGTGCAGGGTGGTTTGCCTGGGAGCAGCTGGTGGGTTTGAACTGCCGACCTTTTGGTTCGCAGTCCAGTGCTGATCCTACAGTGCCACCTTAGGCATCCTGTCACTACACAGTACCCAGTATTATTGACAGTGATATCCAACTTCAAAAACATGCTCTCTTTAAGCAAGCTTTACCATCCAACACTCCCCATCTCCGTAAGTCTTTCAAGATGGTGTTAGTGAACTAGTATTGTCATAACACCCACAAACAGCACCCAAGTCAAACTAGTACTGAGCTTGTGGGATCGTTCTGCAAACACACCTTCCTATGTTTGCATAGGATATCTAAATCAATGTTCTGCTAGAAAAACCTGCCGGGTCGCACCAGGTACGTAACTTCAGAAGCACCAATGATGGGCGCAAATGCAGCAACAAGTGTGAGGCTGGCACAGTGCTCCCTTCTGTTGTGCCCAATGTCCCTAACAGCAACAACATGCCCTGTAAGCAAGCTTCCAGAATGGCTCTGCAGTGTGTTAACTTTTACTTCTGAGCATTATGAATATTCCAAGAACACAGGAAGCCCCTGACTTATGCGAGATTCCATCCCGAGGACTCGGCGCAAAGATGATTCCACCGAAGTGGAATGTCTCTTCTTTCTTTTCTCTTAGATTTCGTTATTATTGTCTTTCAAGACCAAGTCTCTATAAATCTCAACACTAAACCTCTGCGAGTGACCATCTGAGGATAACACACTTGGTAAATGACACCCTGCAGTATTGCAAGTAGCACACAGTTACTAACCACAAACGTACAGTACACACCAACAGGATGCCCTCAGTACCCCGCAGTGGACACTGTACACAGGGGCTGGCTCTGGCAGCACTGAGGAGCCGACACTCACCATGACCATGTGGGCAGAGCTCAGACATCACCAGCCATCCCCGGAGGCCAGCACATCCGAGCTCATCTGAGCTCATCACCGGGGAAAGGTCTCATCCAAGCTCATTGCTGGGGAAAGGTCTCAACCAACCTCATCACCAGGGAAAGGCCTCACCAGGGAAAGGCGCATCACCGGGGAAACGGTCACAGGAGGCTGTGCCCCACCCATCTACCCAGCAGGCACTATGAGGTATGTCAGCACCTTCCAGAGGAAGGACAGGTGTGAATGGGACCAAAACTAATGGTGACAAGGGTGGCATGGTAAACGCCACTGACAAGTCCAAGAAGGAGAGCCAAGGGGCTGGCAGGGTTGGCAGGACACTGCGCCACAGAAGGTGATGCTGTGTGTACCAGGTTCCCTCCTGATGAGAAAACTGAGCAGGAGAAATGTGCTGGGAAAAGCAAGCTGCAGCTTACCTGAGGATGGACTCAGCTCACAGCCCCTTACCACAGAACAGTATTTTTCAGGACTGTTAGGTGCCATCAAGTCCATCTGAACCCACAGTGACCTGATACACGACAGATCGACACACTGTCCCGTCCCGTGCCATCCTCACAGTTGTCACAAAGCTTGAGCCCAATGCTGCTGCCACTGTGCCAATCAGTCTTACTTGGGGGTCTTCCTTTTTTCGCTGACCCTCCACTCACCAAACATGGTCCCTCCTGATAACTAATGTCCGAAACATGAGAGACGAAGTCTCACCATCCTGATTTCTGAGAAACTTCTAGATTTGTTTGTTTTTCTGAAAGTCCATGGTACTTTCAATATTCTCCACCAACACAATAATTCAAAGGCGTAATTCAGCAGACCCTCGATAGATAAGCATTAGCTGGTACTCACTGAGCAACGCATTTTACAACTAAATCTTGTCCTCTTCCCATGGCAACCACACACACTAAACACACTAACACCCTCATTGGGGCAGAGAAAGCTACATGTGCCAGAGCAGGTACCCAGTGAGTCCAACACAAAGGTCCCTAAAAATGACAAACACCACCTCAGACTGGAGGCTTACATTACGATTTATATACTATTTACGAGAGAAGGGCAATAGAAAAGGTTTGGGTATCTTTCTGCTAAAATGGTGAAAACCTAAAACCTGCAAATTAGCCAGGAGGGTCTGCTCACTCCTTAACCATTGTGGACAACCAAGATATGGGGGGGTTGGGAGCAAGGTTTAAAACCCTCAACTGCTAACTGGAAGGTCGGAGCTTTGCACCCACCAGCCACTCCGTTGTGGGAGACAGAAGGGCAGTCTGCTTCCACAGAGACTGCACCCTCGGGAGTCCCATGAGGCAGTTCTCCAGCCAAACCCACAGCTCATAGGAACAACCGTCTCACAGCATTCCCGAGGCTGTAGTCTTCACTGAAGCTGACAGCCATGTTTTCCTTCCATAGAGCGGGTGATGGGTGTAAACCTTCGACCTTCTGGTTAGCCGTGGAGCATTTTAACCGCTGTGCCACCAAGGCTCCTAGAAACCCTGCCTTCACCTTCGCCTTTGCCTTCGCCTTCTCGGTGAGACTGGATCACTGTCACATTTCTGAGCAGATTTAACCCTTGTCCCCCTTTCGGTGACTGTTCAACTCTGTCCTATAAAGGTCTCTCTTTAAGTCAGATTCGACTCCACAGTCATGAGTTACAAAGTCACCTACACATCCAACAGCTGTGCCCAGCTGACACTTACCCATTTCTGGTGGGGGATCTGTACCGGTCCATAAAAACTGGCATCACCCCGTACAAATCTATGGTGGAGAGTGTGGCCAGGGGCGGCCAGTTTGTGCCGTGCCACACAACAGTAACGGACGTGTCGTTTACAGACAGGTCAGCCTGCTCTATGATGGACTCCTTTCCACTCTTGTCTCTCAGGGTAAGCACCCAGCCTAAACCAGAAACCCTGGAGAGAAAACAGACAAGGGGGAAACAAAGCTAAAAATGGCTGTCTCACTGTAGGACAAACAAAAGAGGCTAGAGAAATTTCAAGTATCATCTCTCAGCCATCGAGTTCCGTAAGAGTTGAAATCAAACCCTCAGAACCAACCCAACTCAGGACTCACGTTTCCATTCCTGCCACAGCTCTCCCCTGACTCCCCCTCCCCACCGGACAGACACTGGCTGGACACGGGCTCTGCTCCAGGGACCAGCAGCCCAGGCAGGAAGATGCTGGCCAGGGCAGGGGCGCGGAGAGCACTCTCAGTCTACTGAGCAGATTATGAGGGGATTTCTGCTGGACATGAAACACCAGGTCATGCATGTGGGACAGGGCGACACAGTCCATTTTACAGATGCACGAAAACACGAGTGACAGCCCCCAACATCTGAGTGGCCCGCTGCCAAGGTGCGGCTCACCTGAGTACCTCCTTGACTTTGGCGGGGAGCCCCGTGTACGGGTTCACAGGCTTCACAAGCTGGGCCACGGCCCCTCTCATGGAGGCCACCTGCTTCGCAATATACTCCTTCTTCCAGTATCCGGCTTCCCTGTCCTCCAGGGACAGGAGGGCCACGCACACCACCGTCTTCTCCATGGGATTAGCCTTCCAGCCAGAGCGCTTAGGTGGAAAAGCGGCCGAGTAGATTCTGACCCAGAGAAAGCTGGAGAAAGGACACGTCATCAGGTGCCTGTTGTGTTGTGAACCCTGATGGCTGAGTGAGTTGCGCGCTGGGCTGCTAATCTCAAGGTTAGTGATTTGAGCCCACCATGTTGCTCTTGGGGAGAAAGACTTACAGCCTCGGACACCCTACACAGGGTTTCTGTCAGTCAGAACCGACTCGCTGGCACACTGCCACCAACCACCACCTATCAGGGTGACACTGGGAGTCGGGGTACAATTATTTCCAAATCATTTCACTCCAGGAGTCCTGGTAACTCAGTTATTACAGCACTGAGCTGCTGACCAAAAGACTGGGAGTTCAAACCCACCTGCCGCTCTGCAGAAGAACAATGTGGCAGTCTGTGCCCATGAATCCTGTGCTGCAAACACTACGGAGCAGGTCCGCTCTGACCTATAAGGTCGCTAGGAGTCAGAATCAACTCGTCGGCAAAAGGCTTTGCGTTGGTTTGGTCCCAGGAAGTGGGTCTTCCCCACCATGTGCCTGTTCTTTCCCCACTTCGTCTACTGCATGAAACCATCAAGAATAACAGCCTGCCCTTTCACCCTGATGTGTGTCCTACGTATGATCAGTACTCGTCTGATCTCGTGATGTTGAGAGGCACCTAAAAGCCAAGGTGGTCAGTCACCTGCCAGAGTGCTCGTGGGAGGGCAGGAGGACACTCCCCCAGCAGCCCTCCCCCAAGACAGGACACTGAGTGCTCAGCAGGAGGGTCCCACCTCTGTTTCCCATGGAAGCCAGAGGCTGTACAAGCACAGGCTGGCAGTGGGGTGATGGCTCCAGCTCCAGGGCAGTCCCACTCTGGCCCATATACCGGACCTAACAGGTAAGTCTGGGAGAAGGGACAAGCACACTTAACTCAGTCCCTTCCTCCCCTTGCCATAGGATCAGCTTGGCTGCCAGCAGACAAGGAAAACCCACACCAAACCCACCACCTCCCAGTCAATTCCACTCCAAGGCAGGTGCCTCCACTGCCTGCTGGGACTGCCTGAGAGATGCAGAGAAGTTGGTGCACGTCCTTGGAGCTTACAGACCTACACGACCTGCTCCAACAGCTGTGCACACATCTTATCTGGTGCCCCACTCCTGTTCTTCAGCATGCAAATGCTAAACAATGAACCTGTCATATGGCAGCTGTACTGCATTAGACACTTAATTAGTCTGTCTAAAGATAACTTTGGAAACTCATCCTCTTAACTGCTCAAACCTGGTGTCCACAATTTGCATCAGGATGCCCTAAAGGCCTAACAAAGGTCTGGCTGTCTCCTTACTTGTCACTGGCCAGGTGGTAAAAGCGCCTGCTCACACATCCAATGCACAGCAGGTTCACGGCATCCAGGTAAGAAAATATCTTCAGTAGGATTTCTGAAGGCATCCTGGAAAAGTGGGGAGACAAAACCAGAAAAGTGGAGCATTGACTCCAAATCACCAAGCAGACAACTTTTCAGCTCTTATGAGGAGGAGATAAATAAGCCCTTCTGGTGATGTGCCATCCTCACAGAGGTAATGGCGGGGGGGGATTTTGGGGTGGGGGGTGAGGGCTCAATGCCGGGGTGTCTGCATCACACACACACACACTCAAGGAGACAGTAGGCGGGATTTCGCTGCTTCCTAGATGAAATCTTGCATTAGTCTACCGTGAGATCAATGGGAATACAAGAAGAAATGCGGAATGCCTTCGTAGCCACTAGTAAGATAAACACAGAATTCCTCTTCTTCCAAAACAAAACCACACACAGTAAGCAATCGAAAACGTAGAGTCTGCCTACACCATGCTCCTGAGGCCCCTGCAAGGTCCCTTCTTGATAGCATCCTCAGGGGTTTCATGAGACTCCAAGCCCACAGGATCTCCCAGTGTGTTCTGTTTGTTCATTTTTATGCACAGATAAATACAACATTGAGAAGCATTTTCAATGCCCCTCTTCTTCTCTGATCACACCACATCTGCGAGGGTTTAGAAAGCATAAGCAGGACTAGCTGGGCAGGGATGACTGCTTCAGGGGTCTTGAACATGGGGGGAAGGGAGGACCACAGAAGCCTTCACCAAGGCCTTGGGGTCTGGGATAAAGGACTGGGGAAGCCTTTGACCAATTTAAATGGTTTGCCCAGGCTCATCATTAATTATGAGGAAGTGAAAATCAGAAATCAGGTTAACAAACACGTCACAGGGAAATAACCCGTTCTCAAGTTCTGATCGTGGAGTCCTGGTGTGGCGCTGAAGGTTGATGTGCTGGACTGCGAATTCGGTTTGAACCACAGGTTGGCAGTTCTAGCTCATCAGCCGCTCCTCGACAACCCTGTACAGGGTCATGTCAGAACTGACTCAACGGCACTTACCAACATTAACATCAACCAATTCTGATCATATTGAGAAAAAACCCAAAGGCTCCTCAGAGAGACCGTGACCTGAGAAAGAGCTATTTGCTGTGTGACCGTTGTTGTTGTTAAGTGCTGTCGAGCCAATTCCAACACATAGCCACCCTGCATAGGGTTTCCAAGGAGTAGCTGGTGAGCTTGAACCACCGACCTTGCAGTTCACATGACTTTGCAGTCTGACGCATTAGCCCACAGCACCACCCCAGGACTCCATATTCAGTGCCAAAACCACAGTAAAAGCCCACTGCCACCGAGTCCAACTCACAGCAATCCCACAGGACAGCGCAGGACGGCCCCAAGGGATTTCCAGGCTGGACCTCTATGGGTCTGGACCTCTATGGGTCTGGACCTCTATGGGTGCAGACTGGACCATCCTCCTCCCGCAGAGCAGCTGCTAGGTTCTGGGTCAGAACCACCGGCCTTTCCAGGGCTCCTGCTATAAATGCCGTCCAGTCAGCTGTAACTTGAACAACACCGTATAGAGTTTCTGAGAAGGGCTGGTGGTTAGCAGTCCAGTGCTTACCCTACAGCTCCATACCAGGGCTCACTATAAATGGTAGTACAGTATAAATCACAGGCAACTCCGGAGCAGTTTAAGATCTTTAAAACCAAAACAAAACAAGAAGGATTCCATGGGTCTTGGTGCAGAGGGTCCCAGCATAGACTCAGGGTCCCAACATACCCAGAACTAAGAGTCTTGGGAAGCACTTGGGCTTTCTGGGGGGGGGGGGGGGGGGGGGGGAGGCGCAAGAGCTAATCTTTCCAAGGGTCTTTCTCAACTGGAAAATGAGGAGATTTGGAGAACATTTTAATAAAAAGAAAATTAAATTTAGTTGTCAGTTTGAGACATTTCGTTCAGATAATGACTCTGGTGACAGGCAGTGAGTCACATCACAGTCTGGGGCCACCGCTCTTCCTACTCTATTCTATTCTGAGATCCTATAGAGCACTGTAACCTCCCCTAAGGACCCCACTGCTGGAGCCCCCAAGCAGGGAGGTGTGCTGAGCCACGTGCACTCACCCATCCAGGGGCACGGCAGAGTTCCCGGCTGCTGTCAGAGGGCGTTCTTGATGTCTGGCACAGTGCTGCAGCATGTCTGCCCTGGGCCTGATGCCCGGCCCTCTTCTGAAAATGAACATGGGGGGCTCGTTACATAATGTCCAGATAAGAGTGGAACTGTCTGTCCCCCTCTGCAAAATATCACAGGATCCACAGACATCTAAGACTACCCACTGGGAAACTTCATCTCCAAAGTAAAGGAAGGGAGGGTGGGAAGGAGGGAGAGAAGGAGGTGGGAGAAAGGAGGCCAGAGAAGGAGGGAGAGAGGGAAGGAGGTGGGAGGAAGGGAGAAAAGGAGAGAGGAGAAGAAAGAGGGAGGGAGGCAGAAAAGGAGGGAAGGAAGGGAAGCAGAAAAGGAGGGAGAAGGAAGGGAAGCAGAGGAGGGAGAGAGGCAGAGAAGGAGGGAGGAAGGGAGGCCATTACTTTCTACTCCCTAGGAGGACTATTAACAAACCACAGGAGTGCAGAAGTTTAAAAAGCTCCTGAGGGGCCTGGTCCTCTGGTAGGTGCACACTGAAAGCCAGACATTAGTACACTAAGGGCATTGGCTCCCTGGGTGAGCGCTACTTGGCTGGCGCTGCCATAGCTCAAGTTCTCTGGTTTTAGCTTTGCTGGTTGACCTTCAGCAGTTATGGTGAGAGCTCCTTACTACCTATGACAGGAAGAAGGCAAATTCTAATGGCAGGTTTGCTGCTCCACTGAATGTGAGAAATGCACTCAGAAGGCCAAGGCAGTCATCCCAGGGCTCTTTCAACAAAAGTCAATCTGCCGACATGGAGATGGAAATTAAACTGGGTCTGTTGGCTTTAAAGGTGCTGGCAAGATTTCTTCTGAACCAAGATGGTACATGGAAGGGATCCCATTTATTATAATGAGATGAAGTATAAGTATATGATTTTTGAATGTAAAACTGATGATCTACTCTGTAAACCTTCACTCAAATCACAATACAAAGTTAAAAAATTTTTTCTAATTAAATTTTTTTTTTTTTTTTTCTGAAAAGGACAAGCAGATCCTAATATGTTTATTGAATTGCAAGATACTGAGACTAGCCAAAAAAAGTCTTGGGCAAGAAGAAAATTTGTTAGACTCACACTTCCAATTTTCAAAAACTTAAGACCAATCTACAGGGATCAAGACCAGGAGTTTCTGGAATCAGAAGAGACAAGAATGGACCCAGGACCAGGAATAAACCCTCATCAGTCAGCTGACTTTTCAGCACGGATGTCAGGACCAAAGAGAATTCAGTGAGGCAAAGAGTAGCCTTTCAACAAATGCCTTGGAGGGGAAAACAAACCAACAAGGCGCCCTGAGGGTACCCTGGTGAACCCTAACCCTAACCCTAACCTTCACCTTCACCCTCACCCTCACCCTAACCAAAGGTCAGTGTTTGGAACCCACCAGGCGCACTAGGGCAGAGTCTACTTCTGTGCAGACAGATGTACAGCCTTGGAAGCCCTCTGGGACAGTTCCGCTGTCCTATAGGGTCTCTCGGAGCCTTGACTTGACTGGCAGTAGGTTTGGTTCGGGATGGTGTGGGAAGCACACACAATAAGGGTCATAGTAGTAGTGATGGACCTCAGCTCAGTACTCAGCTGCTAAACAAACAGCTGGCAGTTGAAGCCAACCTGCAGCTCCATGGGAGAAATGAGCAGGCGAGCTACTCCCATAAAGAAGACAGCCGCAGCAGCCCTCAGCTCAGCGGCACCCAACAAGAGCCAAGGAAGGTGCCTGGCCCCAGGGGATTTTCTGCACAGACCCCTTTCACTGCTGATGCCTCAGCACTCACAACATGCCTGCTGCACTGAAGGCACTCAAAACATCAACTGCGTTCCAACTGGAAAAGCAGGCCACTTGGGTACATACCATGGTTGTGAAGTGCCTACGAGGACTCGGTTCCGACTCAGAGCCACCCTGTTTAGGGTTTCCGAGTGGCCAGTGAGCCTGATCCACCAACTTTGTGGTTCAAACCGACCTGTGGTCCAGTGTTTACCCTAAAGCGCCACTATCGAACCTTGTCTCTCCTTTTCTCTCTTAGGAGAAAATGAAAGCATAAAGACTTCTGGAGGACACACCAGAGACATTTAAGAGCCAATCTCTCTGCTCAAAGGATTACAAGCTTTAGGGGGAGGGGTCGTTTCAAAGTGGGGAGGTGGGGCGGCAGGGGGTACCCAGGAGGCAGAACTCCAAGAGTCTTCTCATTTTTCTTAATATATGGAGTCCTGGTGTGGCGCTGTAGGATAAACATTCAACTACAAAGCCAATTTGAACTGCAAGATCGGCAGTTCAAACTCCTCAGCTGCCTCTTGGAAACTATACAGGGTCACTAGGAGTTGGAACGGACTCCACAGCACTTAGTAACACAACTATGGTGCCTGAAGTGCTAAGGGGTTTGCTTACATTCAAGAACTGGGAGCCCCAAACTCAGGATCACAGTTTCATAGCCAATTCCTTTAGAGGAGGCATCCCAAGAGCAATGCCCACCCCTCAGGACTAAAGAAGTTAAAGCCAGGCCCCCAGGCCCCTGGGGCCACAGCCCACAGCAAGCTGAAAACATCTTAGAAGTCTCTCATTTGATCTTAAAAGCTAATGCAAATATCTCAGCTACTGGGTAATTATCTGTTGGTCTTATTATGAAAATGCAATCCAGGTACCACTGGCGTCCTGGTGACCTACTGGGATTATGCATAGGGCTGTTAACCACAGGAATCCAGCAGCCACCTGAAACTCTATACAGGATCACTCCAGACACATCAGCAGTTTGCCCAGGTAACAGTTCCCCTCCAAGGACTTTGTGTGGATTTCACATGCCAGGAAGCTGCCCACCTGTCCCTGCCCACTAGCACTGACACCACGGAAAAGCACAGTGCCCACTTTAGTGAGTGAGAACCCTCACGGGTCAGCTCCCCACTGGTGCTCACATGAGCTTAGGTGAATTT